AAACTGAGCTCTTAGTATTCCCTCCAGCACTTGCCCCCTCCCCTGACTTCTCCATCAAGACCAATAATACAACCATCAGTCCCTCCCCTCATGGCAGGGTACTAGGTGTAATCCTAGACTCCCATCTGTCCTTTCAGCCCCAAATCCAATCGCTGTCAAAATCATGTTGACTTCACCTCCACAATATCTCCAAGATATGGCCGTTTTTAACCTTGAAAACTACTAAGCAACTTATTCACTTCCTTGTTATCTCTCGCCTTGACTATTGTAACTCCCTCCTCATTGGCCTACCTCATCGCAGTCTATCATGAATGCTGCTGCCTGACAAACATTAACAATAACATATAAAGCCATTTATAACTCTGCCCCAAATTACATCACCAATCTTGTCTCCAAATATCACCCAAACCATACTCTCCGCTCCTCGCATGACCTCCTGCTCTCTAGCTCCCTTGTCTCCTCCTCCCATGCTCGTCTCCAGGACTTTTCCAGAGCTTCCCCCATCTTCTGAAACTCTCTACCCCAATTTATCAGACTATCGCCTACTCTGCTCACTTTTAGGCGATCTCTGAAAACCTATCTCTTTAGGGAAGCCTATCCTGCTCAGCTAATAATGGAATATTCTACTCCTCCTACCAGTCCATCCCGCACAGTTACTACCTTTTGTACCACTAGCCCCTCCCTCTAGATTGTAAGCTCCAAGGATCAGGGCCCTCCTAACCCTCTTGTATTGAATTGTTTGTTGCTGTATCGTCTCCCATTATATTATATTATAAAGTGCTGAGCAAACTGCTGGCGCTATATAAATCCTGTATAATAATAATAATATTTATTTTATAAATTGTTTAAAGAATACTTTCATATATGGAGTAAAGCTTTGTTAACCTATAAAAAGTGAAATATGGGGGTAAGACCTGAACAAGCTATTTAACATCCCCAGCACTGTGTTTTTAGTTTAATATTGAGGATCACCAAACAGTGCTGAGGATGTCATGCTTGAGGTGATTGTAACCGTATCAGTGTATTTGCAACAGAAACAATTGAGTACTTTCTGTGATACTTTTTTTATTTGCACTAACATAAAATTTTCAGGGCAAGCTTTCGGGGGATGTCCACTTCTTCAAGGTCCAAACTACTTCACAAAGTTTTAGCAGGTATGACAAGCTTCACAGCTCAGTATACAGGAAACCCAGTGACAGATGCAACTACCTGCACAGTTCCAGCTTTCACCTCCAACACATTAAAAGGGCGATCATACACAGTCAGGCCATCAGATACCACCGAATATGTTCAGACCCGGAAGACAGAGATAAACATCTCGGGGCAATATCAGACTCCTTCCATAAGAAAGGTTACAAGGACAAAACTATCAACACCAGCATAAACACAGCCTTGAAAACCAGAAGAGAAAAATCTACTTCAATACAAAGAGAAAAAAAAAAACTATGCACCTCTAGTAACCACATACAACCCAGCACTAGAAGGAATAAGAAAAAATAATCAAATATTTACAATCCTTCATAACAGAGGATGGAACTCTGAAATAAATATTCCAGCAACCCCCAATGCTGACTATCAGACAACCCCCCAACCTCAGACATGAAATAATCAGTAGGAAACTTCCTTCTGATTATGATGTCACAAATAATGTGCAACCAAATTAATCCTTCAAAAAGTGCCACACACTCAAAAGAGACCTTCAGTATCACCAGATTATACAGCTGCACCTCCAGTAATGCTGTGTACCTTATCTAGTGCAAAAAATGTAGCATCAAGACAGAAGTTGCGAACAAGGATGATATGGACAGACATACCATCAAGGAACACAAAGAAGATGAGTACTGCACATCTGTGGGACGGGACACCATTTCTCATAACTGGACTACACTATGGAAGACCTCAAAATCTTAGTTCTTAAAGGGAATTTCAAAACTATTCAGGAAAGGAAAACTTTTTAACTAAAAATGATATTTCTATTTGATACAAAAGACAATTGCCTTAATTTAGACATGGGTTTTCTCACTCATTATCCAACAGTTTACAACCCCCTCTGTAACTGTCAAAATAACCCACCCCAACCCCCTTCTTCCCCTGACCTTGCTTTTGCTCTGTCTCATCTCTAGTCTAATCCTAGTTTTATAACCATTGCTGTGTACATTTGTTTGTGTGTGTGTTTTTGTTTTTAATTTGTTTTTTTTCTTCAGACATTGTTTCTTTTAACATTCTACTAAAACTTTGTAAAGTAGTACTGCTTGGACCTTGAAGAAGCGAACATACCCCTAAATGTTATGTCAGTGCAAATAAAAAAAAAAGTATCCTGAACAGTACTCAGTTGAGGATGTCATGAAAATCTAGAGGGGCCACCATCTTTTTTGTTAAAAAAAAATGCTAGTTAAAGGTGTAACATTTAAAAAAAAAAAATATTTTCCCACAAGAAAATGCTGAAATGCACTGCATCTAATTGTGAGATTTGGAGTCTTCCACTTTCCCAGGATCGTACAGTAAGGCCCACAGACATCTCCGGTGCTTACAAGAAAGAACCTGAGTTTGGGGTAGATGATGAGCATCATTTACATTTTCATTTTATGTTATTTTTATGCCTTTCAATAATTGTTTTTTCTAAGCATGTTACAACAGAAAACACATTGCAGAAAGAGAAGATACTCTCAAAAACATTCCTGAATATTCAGTACTTTCCACCTGCCAACTATAAATGGATATTATCTCTAACCCTATAAACCTTCTAAAAACCTGTCATGTCATAGAAACATGGAAAAGTGGTAGCAGAAAAAAGACCAAGTGCCAATCAAGTCTGCCCAGCTTTTCTTTTATTTATACAGATATATATTTTTGTTTTGTTTGGTTTTTTTACTTTTTGTCTGAGTAAAGATCTTTGTTTGTCACAAGCATGCTTAAAGCATTTTTTCTGCTCCTGGATGCACTAGCAGTGGGGTTTTTTCTGCCTCAAAACGCCTATGCCTCTAAACTCCTCTAAAAGTCTATGTGTGCATGGACACATAAGCTAACATGCAGGGACTTTTAGAGGCTGGAAAAAAATGCCATATACCTTGAGGGACAGCTGAAAAAATGACCAGTGTGCATGAGGCCTTAACAAGCTATTAGAACCACTATATACATTCTGACCCACTAGGGTGATTCACCTCCACCAGCTGTCCGGTTGACAACGAACAGATGGATATTATATCATTTTATGGTTGTTACTGGAGCAGGAAATAAGAGAAAATCATACATCTGGGGACACGTACTGCAGTGATAGCCATCAAAAAGGAGATTTACAGTATGAAGAGATTTCCTCTGGCATCCTTTGCAATCCCAGAACAGCAAAAAAGACAGAGGTTTTAAGAGGCTTTTCTACTACATACGAAATGTTTTAGGGGTTAATACAGCTAGGGGCTGTCAGAAGCTCTAATCAAGAGAGCTTGACTATGCCCTGTCTGATCACAATTGATATGATCCAAAAATATTTAGACAGAATAAAGGTGAATAAAGCACCTGGAGCAGATGACATACACCCACGGGTCCTTAAAGAATTGAGCAATGTAATTTCAAAGCCATTGTTTCTAATTTTTAGGGACTCTATAATGACTGGCATAGTACCACTGGATTGACATAAGGCAATGTGGTACCAGAAAAGGGGTCAAAATCTTTACCAAGTAATTATAGACCTGTTAGTTTAACTTCTATAGTTGGGAAGATAGTGGAGAGATTAATAAAAGACAACATAGATGAGTTCTTGCTGGAAAAAAAATATTTTAAGCAACAGACAGCATGGATTCATGAAAGACAGAACATGTCAAACAAATCTGATTTCTTTTTATGAGGAGGTGAGCAAAACCTTGGACAGAGGTGGCGGTGGATGTGGTATACTTGGATTTTGCAAATGTGTTTGGCACAGTTCCCCACACATGGCTAATGTACAAGGTAAAGTCTACGGACTTGGAAAAATCCGTTTGTAAATGGATAGAAAACTGGCTAAAAGATCATATTCAGAGAGTAGTGGTTAATGATTCCTACTCTGAATGGTCTAGGGTTGTCAGTGGTGTACCGCAAGGATCAGTGTTGGGACCCTTACTTTTAATACATTTATAAATGATATAGGGTCTGGGATTAAAATCCCATTTCAGTCTTTGCAGATGACACCAAGCTGTGCAGTGGAATAACATCCTTACAGGATGTCTCCAATTTACAAGCCAACCTCAATGCACTGTGTAATTGGGCAACTATGTGGCAAATGAGGTTTAATGTTGATAAATGTAAGGTTATGCACCTGGGGGCTAAGAATATGCATGCATCATACATACTAGGGGGAGTACAACTGGGGAGAATCAATGGTGAAGGATCTGGGAGTTCTGGTAGATCACAAGCTTAATAATGGCATGCAATGCCAAGCTGCAGTTTCTAAAGCGAGCAAAATCCTCTCTTGTATTAAAAGAGGTATAGACTCCAGAGAGAGATATATCATATTACCCCTGTACAAATCATTAGTAAGACCTCATCTGGAATATACAGTTCAGTTTTGGGCATCAATTCACGAAAAGAACATAGGGGAACTGGAGAAAGTACAGAGAAGGGCAACCAAACTGATAACAGGCATGGAGGAGATCAGCTATGAGGAAAGATTAGAGGAACTAAATGTATTCTCTCTTGAGAAGAGGAGATTAAGGGAGGATATGATCAACATGTATAAATACATCAGTGATTCATATAGTGAACTCGGAGTAGATATATTCACCCTGAGGTCATCACAGAGGACAAGGGGGCACTCTTTACGTCTGGAGGAAAATAAATTTAATCTCCAAACACGGAAAGGTTTCTTCACAGTGAGAGCTGCGAAAATGTGGAAAAGACTCCCTCAAGAGTTGGTTCTGGCCAGCTCAGTGGATTGCTTTAAAAATGGCCTGGATTCTTCCCTAGATACACAGAATATACCGTATTTTTCGCTCAATAAGACGCACCTGACCATAAGACGCACCTAGGTTTTAGAGGCAGAAAACAGGAAAAAAAATATTCTGAACCAATGGACTGCAGACATAGGTGTCCTTTTATGACACAGAGAATAGCTGCGATTCAACGGATCTCAGCTATTCTCTGGTCATTCACAGTTAATGACACTCAGGAGATCATGTCAGCCCTTCACTGGAGATCTGTGTTCTCCCTCCAGATTCTCCAGCCCAGAGCTGGAGAATCGGAGGGACCGCAAACTAAGCAGAGATAATTTACCTCTGCTTAGTAAACTGATCTTTTACTGTAATCTCGCGAGATTATAGTAAAATCAGCCGTTTTCCAGAGTTTGTAGACCGTTCTCCAGCGTTTGGAGACCGTTCTCTCTTCATTCGGAGAACTGCTTCATAAACTGCATTCACAGGAGAACTGTGTTCTCCGAGAATGCCGGAGAACTGAGCAGCGATCTATTACTGCTGGTTCATAAATGGACACCATAGTACAGGAGATGACCAGAGACTGAGGACACAGTACAGGAGATGACCAAAGACTGCGGACAGTACAGGGATGACCAGAGACTGTGGACATAGTACAGGGATGACCAGAGACTGCGGACATAGTACAGGAGTACAGGAGATGACCAGAGACTGCGGACATAGTACAGGAGATGACCAGAGACTGCGGACACAGTACAGGAGATGACCAGAGACTGCGGACATAGTACAGGAGATGACCAGAGACTGCAGACATAGTACAGGAGATGACCAGAGACTGCAGACAGTACAGGGATGACCAGAGACTGTGGACCGTACAGGAGATGACTGCTGACCTTTGGGGAGGGGAAGAGCGGGTACCTGAATTTGACAGGTACCCGCTCTTACTTCCGCGGAGTTGTTCTTTGGTTAGTGTCCGCTCTGCAGCGGGACCTTATCTGTTCCTCTATCCAGTGGCGCGCTGTCTTCCCGTCTTCTGTAGTGTGGGCGTTCGGCTTTACAGCGGGGTGCCCAGTGCGCATGAGCGAGAAGCGCTGTGCTTTGTGATTGGTCCGGCGGCTTCTGGGACCTGTCATGTGTCCCAGGTGCCGCCTTACCATTCACAAAGCGTACCGCTTCTTGCGCATGCGCACTTGGCACCTGGCTGTCAAGCCGAGCGCCCACACTACAGAAGCCGGGAAGACAGCACGCCACTGGATAGAGGAACAGGTAAGGTCCCACTGCGGAGCTGAGCGGCCGACCCGGTATTCTGACACGGCGGCGGTGGAAATACCGGACCAGCCGCTCCACATTCGCTCCATAAGACGCACTGACATTTTCCCCCTTTTTTTGGGGGGAAAAAAGTGCGTCTTATGGAGCGAAAAATACGGTAACTGGATACTAACATTTATAGGTAAAGTTGATCCAGAGAATATCCGAGTGCCTCTCGGAGGATCAGGAAGGAATATTTTTCCCTGCAGGAGCAAATTGGATCATGTTTTGCTGGGTTTTTTTGCCTTCCTCTGGATCAACTGTGGGTGTAGAATTATAACTTTTTTTTTTTTTTTCTAATGGTTGAACTTGATGGACTTTTGTCTTTTTTCAGCCAGACTAACGAACTATGTAACCATCCACCATTCATAGAAGCCGTATTACAGATTCTATTAAAGCAGAGTTCCAGCTGAAAAAAAAAAAAAGTCAGCAGCTACAAAAACTGTATCTGCTGACTTTTAAAATACAGCCACTTACCTGTCCCTCGATCCAGCGGTGTCCTCACCATCGTTGGTTTCACCGGCCGTCTTCTCTCACTGGTCAAACGGTAAAAAAAAACCTCTAAAAAACACTACAAACCGCAAATGTGAAAAAACAAAAAATAACGCCTCTAAACGCTAATACAAAAATGCTAAAAAATGCTGAAAAACTCACGTTATTAATGTGACTTTACACAGCTAACATTACCAGCGTTATTAAAACTTTCATTGTGCATGGAACATCAGCGCACATCAGTAAAGGAGAAAAAAGTTACTTATTTGCTAAATTTTATAACAGAAACAGATTTTTTTCAAAATTTTCTGTCTTTTTTTGTTTGTTTAGCAAAAAACCCAGTGGTGATCAAATACCACCAAAATAAAGCTCTATCTGTCTCAAAAAAATGATAACAATTTCATATGGGTACAGTGGTCGCATGGCAGCGCAATTGTCATTCAAATTACGACAGCATTGAAAGCTGAAAATTGGCCTGTGCAGGAAGGTGGAGAAAGAGCCTGATACTGAAGTGTTAAACCAAACCAACAGAACCAAATGTTTATACATACCATTCTGATGCTGAGAGCTGAATAGCTAAAAAAACTAAATGGGGAAATGTTTGTGGATACCTGGCTATCAGGCATGCCCTATATGGTCAAAAGTATAAGGACACCCCTCAAAATTATTGACATCAGATTTTCTAATAAGAATACCATTAATACTACAACATGCAAGGACATTTTAGACAATTGTACACTTTCACATTTGTGGCAACAGTTTCAAACAGGCTCCAATGTGCAATGTCAGGTCCATAAACACTTGGTTTCACAAATATTGTGTGGAGGGACCCAAGTGACCTGTACATAGCCCTGACCTCAACTCTACTGAACACCTTTGGGATGAATTGGTATACTGTTTTTAAGCCAGGTCACAACTTAAATATCTGACCACACAAATGCTTTTTATGTTGAATGGGCAAACAATCCCTCAGGCACATTCAAAATCTTGTGGAAAGCTTTCCAAGAAGAGTAGCTGTTGGTATAGGTGCAAAGGTTGGTGTGCAAATCAGTGGCTAAGTGGCTTCTGTCTGGCAGTGCTAGGGTTGTTGGTTTGAATCCCAGCCATGGCACTGAGTTTGCATGTTCACCCTATGCCTGTGTGGGTTTCCTCCAGGTACACTGGTTTCCTCTCACATTCCAAAGACGTTGGTAGGTAAATTGGCCCTAATAAGTGTATGAATGTGAGTTAGGGACCTTAGATTGTACGCTCCTTGAGGATTAGGGACTGATGTGAATGTATAATATATGTAAAGAGCTGCATAAATTGACAGCACTATATAAGTATAAAATAAATTAAAATAGAATTCCAGGTTTAATTTCAAAAAGTTTGTTTGCATCAAACCTCATTGCAGGACAATGTGGCTGCTGCGTGTGCTGTAATGGAGTGTGGCAGCATTAGCCACAATAAGTGGCGGGTGGAGAGGTGGGCGGATGATGTCAAGATTTCCACATCAGCTAATTATAGAAAGTCTTGTATGCAGTGATAAAAAGGTTTATCCTGAATGGTGGAGAAGTACTTGTCCCGACTCTTTAATTTCTCCAGCAGAGGGAGAAGCCGCCCAATCTGCCAGAACACAGAACAACTTACTGTACAGTATGTAGCTAATACCACAGTGTTACAGCACTCAAACACAGTGGATGCATAATTTCATAATAGAAATAGTTTGTTTGGGCCAGCTTAGCCCAAACAAACCATACAAAGAAATTAAACTCCTTTACTTTGATGTTCAAGGTTTTGGAATGGATGACCAACAAGTTGATATGGTCACATGCCCACACATTTTTGCACAAGCAATGTAGTTTGCCCACTTTGCATCAGCACATAAAACTAAAAAAAGCAAGCAAATTTCTGTCTTGTTTTGCTGCCATCTTGGATGTGATGTTAGCAGTCCCAACATAATCAGTGTCATAACAAAATAGGTTATGTAGGGAGGTCAGGGGAAGAAGTGCTGGGCATACTCACACAGTGATTAGACACTTCCAGACGTGGTGAGGGCTGTGCCATGGCAGAAGGAAGGGGTTGTGTTAGGGCAGTGGTGGGCAACCTTTTTTTTCAACTGAGCCAAATCTCGCCAAAACCACGATTGAAATTTATTTTGAGAGCCACATTTTTAAAACTGAAAATACATAGGATGGTACACTGTTTTTAGTTTCAATAAGTTTTTATAGTAATTCATCCCCCATAGTAATTCATCCCCCATATAGTAATTCATCCCCCATAGTAATTCCTCCCCCATATAGTAATTCATCCCCCATATAGTAATTCATCCCCCCTATAGTAATTCATCCCCCATATAGTAATTCATCCCCCATATAGTAATTCATCCCCCATAGTAATTCATCCCCCATATAGTAATTCATCCCCCATAGTAATTCCTCCCCCATATAGTAATTCATCCCCCATATAGTAATTCATCTCCCATATAGTAATTCATCCCCCATATAGTAATTCATCCCCCATAGTAATTCATCCCCCATATAGTAATTCATCCCCCATAGTAATTCCTCCCCCATATAGTAATTCATCCCCCATATAGTAATTCATCTCCCATATAGTAATTCATCCCCCATATAGTAATTCATCCCCCATATAGTAATTCCTCCCCCATATAGTAATTCATCCCCCATATAGTAATTCATCTCCCATATAGTAATTCCATCCCCCATAGTAATTCCTCCCCCATATAGTAATTCATCCCCCATATAGTAATTTCCCCCATATAGTAATTCATCCCCCATATTAATTCATCCCTCATATAGTAGTAGTAAGTAAGTAGCAAGTAGTAAGCCAAGTCCCTCCTGTGTCAATTCACTTACCTTTGCTCCGCGGGTTCCTCTCGCCGTGTTCCCCGCGCCGTTCCGGTCTTCAGGGCGGACTGTGAGAGGAGCCTAGCTCCCCTCACGTTCGTCACGCTGCCCCACCTACACACATCCTGACAGCCAATCACTAGCTATCAGGATGTGAGTGGCAGCGAGACTGGCCAATCATTGCTGGGCTAGCTGCAGAGTCCTCGGCCACCCGAGAGGAGGGAGGGGAGCGGGCGCCCGGCACACAGAAGAGCCGCATTAAAATGTGTAAAGAGCCGCATGTGGCTCGCGAGCCACAGCTTGCCGACCACTGTGTTAGGGTGCCGACTCTCCTGGTGTGGTCAAATTCCCTAGCAAGTTGAAAGGCACATTTCAAGTGAATAATTGTTTATGGAAAGGAAAACTGCTGTTAGAAAGCATTTAGAAAATGTTTATTTGTGCTTTTATGCGTAATTTTTCTTTAGGTTAATGACAGGTGTACATATCTATCTGTGTAAATATGTCTACATATACAGTATATTCATAAAGTTAGCCAGGTTTGAAACCCCCTTCCCACCCTCCCCCAACCAACCATTTAGATACAGTAAAACGTAGAAAATAAGCCGATGGAGAACATTTTAGGGCTTGTTCACACCACAATTTCAGTTCTCTGGCTGCATTTTTGCATACATACAGTGGAGGAAATAAGTATTTGATCCCCTGCTGATTTTGAATGTTTGCCCACTCACAAAGAAATGATCAGTCTAAAAATCAAATGGTAGGTGTATTGTAACACTGAGAGACAGAATAGCAACAACAAATTCAAAAGAAATGCATGTCTAACAGATTATGCACTGATTTGCATGTTCATGAGGGAAATATGTATTTGATCCCCTTCACAAAACAAAACTTAGTACTTGGTGGCAAATCCCTTGTTGGCAATCACAGAGGTCAGATTTTCCTGTAGTTGGCCACCAGGTTTGCATACATCTCAGATGGGATTTTGGCCCACTCCTCTTGGCAGATCCTCTCCAAGTCATTAAAGTTTGGTGGCTGATGTCTGGCAACTCAAACTTTCAGCTCCCTCCACAGATTTTCAATCGGATTAAGATCTGGAGACTGGCTATGCCACTGCAGGGCCTTAATGTGCTTCTTCTTGAGCCACTCTTTTGTTGCCTAGGCCGTGTGTTTTGGGTCGTTGTCATGCTAGAACACCCATGCACGACCCATTTTCAATGCCGTGGCTGAGAGAAGAAGATTCTCACCAAGATTTGACGGTACATTGCCCCGTCCATTGTCCCTTTGATGCGATACAGTTGTCCTGTCCCCTTAGCAGAAAAACAACCCCAAAGCAGAATGTTTCAACCATCATGTTTGACATTTGGGAAAAAAAAATGGGGGGAAAATGTCTGTGCATCTTATGGAGCGAATATGGAGCGGCAGACCCTGTATTCCCTCCACTGCCGAGTTAAAATACTGGGCCGATCGCTTGGCTCTACAGTGCAGAAGAACCTGCACCTCTCTCCTACCTGTTCCTCGGTCTAGCAGTGTCCTGCTTTCACCAACCGTCTTCTCTCCCCAACTCTGGCATCTTAAGTGTGGGCACACTGCTGTGACAGCTTGCGGCTTCACAGCTGGGTGACCACTGCACATGCGTGAGAAGCGCTGCGCTTTGTGAATGGCCACCTGTAGTCTTCTGGGACCTGTCGCATGTCCCACAAGACTACAGGGAGGACAACTCCACGGAAGTGGGAGTGGGTACCTGTCAAATTCGGGGACCTGCCCCCCCCCGCTCCCCAAACGTCTGCAGTCTCTGGTCATCTCCTGTACTATGTCTGCAGTCTCTGGCCATTTCCTGTACTATGTCTGCAGTCTCTGGCCATCTCCTGTACTGTGTCCGCAGTCTCTGGTCATCTCCTGTACTATGTCCGCAGTCTCTGGTCATCTCTCCTGTACTGTGTCCGCAGTCTCTGGTCATCTCTCCTGTACTGTGTCCACAGTCTCTGGTCATCTCTCCTGTACTGTGTCCGCAGTCTCTGGTCACCTCCTGTACTATGTCCGCAGTTTTCTGGTCATCTCCTGTACTATGTCTGCAGTTTCTGGTCATCTCCTGTACTATCTCCGCAGTTTCTGGTCATCTTTTGTACTATGTCCACAGTCTCTGGTCATCTCCTGTATTATGTCCGCAGTCTCTGGTCATCTCCTGTACTATATCCACAGTCTCTGGTTATCTCCGGTACTATGTCCGCAGTTTCTGGTCATCTCCTGTACTATGTCTGCAGTCTCTGGTCATCTCCTGTATTATGTCCACAGTCTCTGGTCATCTCCTGTATTATGTCCACAGTCTCTGGTCATCTCCTGTATTATATCTGCAGTTTCTGGTCATCTCCTATAGTATGTCTGCAGTCTCTGGTCATCTCCTGTATTATGTCCACAGTCTCTGGTCATCTCCTGTACTATGTCCACAGTCTCTGGTTATCTCCTGTACTATGTCCGCAGTTTCTGGTCATCTCCTGTACTATGTCTGCAGTCTCTGGTCATCATCTCCTGTATTATGTCCACAGTCTCTGGTCATCTCCTGTATTATATCCACAGTCTCTGGTCATCTCCTGTATTATGTCTGCAGTTTCTGGTCATCTCCTATAGTATGTCTACAGTCTCTGGTCATCTCCTGTACTATGTACACAGTTTCTGGTCATCTCCTGTACTATGTCTGCAGTCCCTGGTCATCTCCTGTACTATGTCCGCAGTCTCTGGTCATTTCCTATACTATGTCTGCAGTCCATTGTTCAGAATATTTTTTTTCTAGGTGCGTCTTATGATCAGGTGCGTCCTATGGAGCGAAAAATATACGGTAATAGATTGAACAGTATGACAAAAGTGAGCATGATTAAATGGGTAATTGGGTGTGTTGAACTTCTTGCCAAGAACTGATATTTAGCTTACTATATTTATCATCTTTTTGCTGCAGTGATTATGCTCAGGGATGTTTAGCAAACATGAGCAGTTTAATGTCAGAGTGACTAATGTGCTTTTGTCAGTGCAATATTGTAAGAGGTGTGATGCAGCTCTTAGGAGCTATTATTGATGGGTGATCAAATAAGGAGGGGAATGTACAGTGAGGAAACTCCCACAATTATGTAATCTAATTTATATTCATTACAATTAAAAGGGGGTGGGGGTCGAAATAGAGAAAGGGGGTGGCAGAAAGATGTAGAGGTTGATTTACTGAAACTGAAGAGTGCAGAATCTGATGAACCTGTGCATGGTAGCCAATCAGCTTCTAACTCCAGCTTATTCAATTAAGCTTTGACAGAAAACCTGGAAGCTGATTGGTTTCTATGCAGAGCTGCACCAGATTATGGTAACATGAGTAGTGATCAACAAAGGCAATGTGAAAATTTAGCTGAAATAGGTATTTCCAATATGGTCACGCAACTCTTCATATAGCCCATATACCAGTGGTGGGCAACCTTTTTTTTCAACTGAGCCAAATCTCGCCAAAACCACGATTGAAATGTATTTTGAGAGCCACATTTTTAAAAAAACTGAAAATACATCCCCCATATAGTAATTTATCCCCCATAGTAATTCATCCCCCATAGTAATTCATCCCCCATATAGTAATTCATCCCCCATAGTAATTCATCCCCCATATAGTAATTCATCCCCCATAGTAATTCATCCCCCATATAGTAATTCATCCCCCATAGTAATTCATCCCCCATATAGTAATTCATCCCCCATAGTAATTCATCCCCCATATAGTAATTCATCCCCCATAGTAATTAATCCCCCATATAGTAATTCATCCTCCATAATAATTCATCCCCCATATAGTAATTCATCCCCCATAGTAATTAATCCCCCATATTAGTAATTCATCCCCCATAATAATTAATCCCCCATATAGTAATTCATCCCCCATAGTAATTCATCCCCCATATAGTAATTCATCCCCCATATAGTAATTCATTCCCCATATTGTGTCAATTCACTTACCTTTGCTCCGCGTGTTCCTCTCGCTGTGTTCCCGCGCCGTTCCGGTCTTCAGGGCGGACTGTGAGAGGAGAGGAGTTCGTCACGCTGCCCCGCCTACATCCTGACAGCCAATGTTTGCCACACCCCGTGGGCCGGATTAAAAGGTCCGCCGGGCCGTATGCGGGCCGTAGTTTGCCCATTGCTGGGCTAGCTGCAGAGTCCTGACTTTTGGGGCGGCCGCCCGAGAGGAGGGAGGGGAGCGGGCGCCCGGCACACAGAATAGCCACATTAAAGTGTGCAAAGAGCCGCATGTGGCTCGCGAGCCGCGGCTTGCCGACCACTGCCATATACCATCAGAAACACGTATGGATTGTGAATTATAGATTGTAACGTTAGAATTATTATCGAATCCATCAGAATTATTTTTGAATCTGTTAGAATTGTTTTAGAATCCGTTAGAATTGTTTTAGAATCCGTTAGATTATTTTCAAATCTGTTAAAATTATTTTAAAATTCAGTCAAATTAGATTAAACAAAACTCATTTCGAAAAAACAAATTAAAAAAATGTGACTGATCAAACAAAACTAAATTAGTCAAATAACGAATGGAAATGAAATGAAACAAAACAAATTATTCATTTTGCACATCTATTTGCCTTTCCATGTTATTTTTTTAAAAAAAGCAAGGTCCAGATTCAGTCTGTTATCTTTTGTTTCTATCAGAATTATCATTTGAAGTTCAAACGTTTTCCTGAGTATTCTTAACTTGGATGTCCTCCAACATGCGCGCCTTCTGCGCTCCTCCTGGGGCTTGCATCTGGAGCGCTCTGTGACCGCTGTGTGTTTTGGAAATAGCAGATCACAGATCAGGGTAAAGGGCCAGTCACAGTGGCCGTTTACCATGTGATCAGTTGTGCCCAATCACAAATGTCGCAGTGTAAAGAGACTCAATTCCTTTCCTCACATAGAAACCGTGTGTGAGGTAAGGAGAGCCGATCTGTTTAGGATCACAGAAGAGTGTTTAGATACTCTGATTTTTCACACAGTATGTAAACACATAAAAAAAACTTTTTGTCACTGTGCTTAGTGATAAAACCACAATTATTAATACAGCTGCACTCAAAAACATCTACCATGTACTCAAGATATATTAATACAATATGTTGTGCTGTGTATAGATAAATAAATACCAATATAGTAAACAGTATAATAAATATGATTATTTCTAAATGGCATGTAAACCAAAGTTCCTATTTAGCTTAATTCACCCGTGAAGAAAGTGTCCACCTGTTAGGTACCACCCGGCGGTATCTCTAGTGAACCACAGAACGGGATTCCCCAGGGTGCGGAGTCTAAGCCCCAGTCTGCTTATTCACCAGAGCCCCTGATGGTGGGGATGGACTTGGACCAGGTCGCGGCCCCTGGGTACGCCCAACCGTGGTAGAGAGGACCGCCGGAGGTATGTACAGGAGGAGAGCCTGATGTGAAGAGGCTGGCAGGCCCTGGACAGTAGCGACTGGATCCGAGCGGGATGGATGGATGGGTGGATGACAGTATGGAGTATAGCGGGTCAGACAAGCCAGGTCGGTAACAGCAGAGGCAGAACAGTACAGGGCAGCAGGCAGAGAGTAACCGGGTCACGAGAAAAGGTTCGGCAACAGGAGGTCAAATAATTCAGGAGTAGGTAGAAGAATAGTCAGGGACGAGCCAGGGATCAGAGCAGGAGACGGTCAACGGATCAGGGTCAGACAGGGTCGGCAACTAGCAATCTCTCAGGAACACAGGATAACAGGAAAAGGAGGAAATACCATACGGCAATTTGAGTATTGCCAGAGTCTATTTAAATAGTGTGCCCTGTGCACTCATTGGTGCCAGGCGGCATCCGTGAGCGCGAGTGCGCATGCGCGGCCGCCGTTGCCGCCACGGGCGCCCAGGTCCCAGCGCCCGCACGCTAGTGCGCCTAGACAGACCGCACATGTGCATCGCGGTAACTCCCGGAGTCCCTGATACCACCATCAACAGAATCTTGTGAAAAGTGTATCCACCACCACCAAAGGCAGCCTCTTACTGTTTTCTAGACTGTTTTTGGTATGGGAATAGGGGTGTTTCTAAAGAAGTTAAGAAACTTGGGAACATAAACCAGTTTCAAGAGATTCACCCTGTCTACAGGGGACAAGGGCAGTGCCCACCAGGCTTGACACTTCCGAGTAAGTTGAAAAGTCAAAGGAGTAATATTATCCTCCATATAAGCCTCCAGCCGACTCCTCACCCTGACCCTTAGGTAAGTAAACTCTTCCACCCACTTTAGCAGGTACTTTAGTACCAGTGTACACTTCCGATCCTGAGGAGTGAAGGGAGAACAAGACAGATTTCTCCCAGTTAACCCGAATACCTGAAAAATGTCCAAACAAGTCAAAAATATCTAGAGCAGAGTTGAACGAAGAACCCACATCTCGTACGTACAGTAAGGTGTCATCTGTGTATAGGGGAATTTTTTTGTGACGTGTTCCCACTCGTGTTACCCTGCACCCGTGAATCTTGATGCAACAGAATCGCCATTGGCTCGATGGCAAGAGTAAACAGACCTGGGGAAAGCGGACATCCCTGCCTCGTCCCTTTGTACAAGGGGAAAGAAGCAGATCGCACTCCATTGAGCCGAACCCTAGCCACTGGGTAACTTTAAAACAGCTTCAGTCAGGCGATGAAAAAGGGAGCAATCACCCTCGGGACATCCCCAGTTGTGAGAGCTACATGGGTAAACAGGCATCTAATATTAATATTAGTACCCCCACCCGTCATGAACCCAGATTGGTTAGGATGTACCAATGTCGTTATGACCAAATTCAGCCGGTGAGCCAGTATTTTTCTAAGCAACTTGGGATCGACATTCAATAACAATATGGAGTGGTATGAAGAACACAAATCCCCTTTTTTTTAGGGACTACAACTATCACCGCTTCTGACATAGAGGAGGGAAAGATCCCATTTCTCAAGGAGTTTATCAGCATAGCATGTAATCGGGGGCCCAAGTCCTCTGCATACGTCTTATAGAACTCAACAGGAAACCCGTCACGGCCAGGTGTTTTTCCGGATTGAAGAGAGGAAATAGCTATCTTCACCTATTTCAAAGTGATGGGAGAGTCTAAACAATCCTTGCATGGGGAAGTTGGAATAGGGAAGTCTACATTCAAGAGATAGGTATTAATGTCATCTGGAGTGTAAGTCCTGATGACAGTGCAGTGGCTAAATGGTTAGCACTTGTGCCTTGTAGTACTGGGGTTACTGGTTCAAATCCCAACCATGGCACCACCTGCCTGGAGTTTGCATGTTCTCCCTTTGCCTGCATGGGTTTCCTCCAGATACTCCAGCTTCCTCCCACACTCCAAAGAAATGCTGGTAGGTTAATTGAATCCTGTCTAAATTGGCCCTAGTATGTGTATGCATGAATGTAAATTAAGGACCTTAGATTGTTTGGTCCTTGGGGGTTAGGGACTGATGTGATGTGAATGTACACTATATATGTAAAGCACTGCATAAATTGATGGTGCTACATAAGTACCTGAAATAATAAGTCACCCTTGAAGTATATAGTCCCTCATAATAAGAAGCAAAGCAATCTGTAATAGACCAAGATTCCCTAAGAACCTCCCTGGAGGAGGCAAGGATACGGGGCACACTCATGGCAGGAGTTTGTTCCCGGGCAATCCAGGCTAAGAGCCTGCCCGTCCTTTCTCCCAGTTTTTTTTTTTAAAGAATATTTATTGGGTTTTCACAAAATAAAACATTTCAAAGTGGCGAGTACACATATGACATATAACCCCTAGACGCCAAGCGCACGCAAATATGGGGCCTCTCTCGGCGTCTGGGCCTTGACGCCAAGCGGCCGCATATTTGTGTACCATTTAAAAATACATATGTGCTGAGAGCGCGCACCCTACATGTTCCGACTCACGGAAAGGTCCCTATCTCCCCTTGCGATCGGGACCTTTTCCAATCATGTGACTGCCGTGACAGCGAATCATCGCGGTCACATGAAACCCTGCCCTGCCTCCCGGCTTCTGAAACTCTTAAAGGGCCAGGAGGCGCCGGCGCGAGGGGTTAAAAAAAAAAAAACTTTTCCCCTGCAAGGCAATGTCATAATGTGCTAGTATGCAGCACATACTACTAGCACATTATGTGAAACCTACCATAAAACAAAGCCCTCTAGCGGTGCGGTGACACCACTGACAGGACTTCCATCTTTACTCGGTCCTTATTTCGGATTCGCAAGCTCCAGCGACTTGGATGGATGAGCCGTGATGACATCACTCCCGCACATGAGTCATTGTTTACTGCACGCAGCTCTGAAGGAACGGCGCGAGTATGCCATTCTTTCAGCATGCACCGGAGCTGCTACACAAATACTTGGTACATGGTACATGTTTAGGAGATATTTACAGTACCTACTGTACAGGTAAGCCTTATTATAGGCTCACCTGTAGGCACAAGATAAAAAAAAAAAGACATTACCACTTTAAGTGAAAACTACTTCTAACTATAAAATTATCAGTAAATCTTGGAATCTGAATTTATTTGCATATCTCATCAGGTACCAAAAAAATCGAGCTTGATCCTACCCTCTTTACACCCTAAGCTTTCACACATAAGCGGACAAATACCTAATATAAGGTCGACTCTGTGATAAAAAAGGCTTCATTGGTTAAATGTTGATTGAGACATATTTGATTGGACAACTGTTTCATTGATACTACATAATTTGTCAGCCATGTGTTAGTGTACTATTATTTTTAGTTTTGTAATTTTATTTTTTTTGATTTGTGAATTAAAAACATGTTCCCTTAAGTTTAAATGTCGATTTGAATGCCAACTGTTCCATTGATACTAGATATTTTTACAAAATACATTTTTATTTTTTATTTTTGTAATTTTATGTTTTTTTAGATCTATGAATCAATGGATGAATGGGTTAAGTGTCAATTGGGGCATTAATTGTTTCTATACTAGATCATTTGTTTGCCGTTTTTTTATTTTTGCAATTTTAGGTTTTTCTTTCTAGATCTATGAATTAATAACACATGCCCTCTATGAGTTAAAAGGTTGATGGTCTCATCAATATTAACCACCTGCCCTCCAGAGGATTTACCCCCCCCCTTCCTGACCAGGCCATTTTTTGTGTTACTTTAACTGAAAATTGTGTGGTCATGCAACGCTGCACCCAAATTACATTTACGTACTTTTTTCCTCATGAATAGAGTTTTCTTTTGGTGGTATGTGGTTGCCTGAGCGTTTTTTTATTTTTTGCGCTACAAAAAAAAGACCGACAATTTTGAGAAATAAACAATATTTGTGACTTTTTGCTATTAAACGTGCGCAGTAAAAAAATTTAAAAAATCAAATTTTGGCATAAATGTAGGCCAAAAGGTATTCTGCTACATGTCTTTGCTAAAAAAAATCCCAAGACATGTACACTGTCTTGGTGTCACTGACATCCCCAGTGACACCAATACAGCAATCAGTGCTAATAAAAAGCACTGACACTGTACTGGGCAGGAAAGGGTTAATATGTGGGGTGATCAAATGGTTAACTGTGTGCTGTTTCACTGTGTGTGTGCTTTACACTGTAAGCACACTGTATGGGTCTGCTATGCAGAGACATACAAAGCAGTATGCAGGAGCTTACATGAGGAGAGATCTGTGTTGTTTATACACAGGTCTCTCTCCCATGAGAGATACTCGGTGATTACTGGGTCCTGGCAAGGAACTTCCGGACGGGACCCAGTGATTGACAGCCGAGGCTGTGAATGGCGGCTCTAACCAGAACTGCAAAATCACGTATATATACATGATTTTGCGCACTCGTGCCACCCTGTAGCAGTATTTCTGTTATAGGGTGGCGTGGAAGCTTTCAAATAATTTGTTTTTTATGTGTTAATGTATTTTTATGTTTGGTTTTATTGTTACAGTTTTATGTTTTTTCAGATAGGTACTACTATATTCCCATATATAGGCTCTTTTTTATACATCCCTGCAATTTTAGCAAATGTTTGAATTTGCCTGATTTTATCTGATTTTTATTTTATTAATTGTGTCTGTATATTTTATATTTCTTAACAAAACAGACAACCTCCTGCACATAAGTGTGATATCCCAGTACAGGTGCTAAAATGATCTCCATATCACAAGAATAGTACTTCAGGCCTTGCTGCCCTCTCAAGACTAGGAATGTCCTGAAGCAACTAAAAAACACAGAGGGTGCATCAGCCTAGTGCAGTGGTGGGCAACCTTTTTTTTCAACTGAGCCAAATCTCGCCAAAACCACGATTCAAATTTATTTTGAGAGCCACATTTTTAAAACTGAAAATACATCCCCCATATAGTAATTCATCCCCCATAGTAATTCATCCCCCATAGTAATTCATCCCCCATATAGTAATTCATCCCCCATAGTAATTCATCCCCCATATAGTAATTCATCCCCCATAGTAATTCACCCCCCGTATAGTAATTCATCCCCCATAGTAATTCATCATCCCCCATATAGTAATTCATCCCCCATATAGTAATTCATCCCCCATAGTAATTCATCCCCCATATAGTAATTCATCCCCCATAGTAAATTTATCCCCCCTATAGTAATTCATCCCCCCTATAGTAATTCATTCCCCATAGTAATTCATCCCCCATATAGTAATTCATCCCCCATATAGTAATACATCCCCCATAGTAATTCATCCCCCATATAGTAATTCATCCCCCATATAGTAATTCATCCCCCCATAGTAATTCACCCCCCATATAGTAATTCATCCCCCATAGTAATTCATCCCCCATATAGTAATTCATCCCCCATAGTAATTCATCCCCCATATAGTAATTCATCCCCCATAGTAATTCATCCCCCATATAGTAATTCATCCCCCCTATAGTAACTCATCCCCCTATATAGTAATTCATTCCCCATATTAATTCATCCCCCATATTAAGTCCCCAAGTCCCCCCTGTGTCAATTCACTTACCTTTGCTCCGCGCGTTCTTCTCGTCGTGTTCCCGCGCCGTTCTGGTCTTCAGGGTGGACTGTGAGAGGAGAGGAGTTCGTCACGCTGCCCCGCCTACATCCTGGCTGCCCCGCCTACATCCTGACAGCTGCAGAGTCCTGACTTTTGGGGCGGCCGCCCGAGAGGAGGGAGGGGAGCGGGCGCCCGGCACACAGAAGAGCCGCATTTAAGTTTGTAAAGAGCCGCATGTGGCTCGCGAGCCACGGCTTGCCGACCACTGGCCTAGTGCATTATCCCCACAGAATTTATTATAGAACCACATAATATATACTCACAAACACTTAAATAGAAATAGCTTATCCAGCTACTCATCTGTAGCCATATAGTTCATGTGATTCAATGACCTCCAAAGCCCAGGGGGACCTCGAGATTTTCAAATGGCTGATGTCTTTCAAAGGACCTTCTTCATCAGAGCCAAGATATAAGGGCTCATGTACACTGCAGCTGATAAACTCACGTTTAGAAGCTGTTCAGCGTTTTTTTTCAGCAGCCCCTGAACTCACCCTAATGTTTTCCAATGTGTCCATGTACACATCTTCGTTTACAGTCGTTTACAGGCATTTGAGTTTACAATTGTTTTTTTTAATGCAGAAAACGTGCGTTCAGCAGTAGATTTTATCAGCATTTCAAACACAAAACGCTTGTAAACACCTGTAAACGCGGCTAACCGCGTTTATAGGCGTTTGTGTTTGAAACTTTTTTTAACTCTTCCATTTCCAGATGCTGTCCAGAGCCTTTTTTTCATCATGAAAAATGCATGCAAAGCATTTTCCCGGTACTCAAATGGACCTGGTTCACCATACTTTGAGGTTTTGCATGAACAAAAATAATGTTAGACACTGCAGCAATAATTTCTGCACAGAAATGAGCTGGAACACATCCAAACAACGCAAAAAAAAACCTAAATACTGCTCTCTCTGCTTCTGCTCTCTCTATTTCTCTCAAAATGTCTGAAATAGTTAATTTGTTACTGTTTTTCAGTGCATTCTGGACATTTTGGAAGGTCTCCTGAGGTTTTCTTTAAAAAAATGCTTCTAAATGCAAAACCCTCATAAACACGCATAAACGCGGCTAAACAGATGTCTTTTAACCTGCGTTTTCCAGCAGTCAGTTTCCATCATTCAGAAGTGTCCTGTGTACATGAGTTCCTTCAGCTAATATATATACATTTATAACTGGGCAGCACAGTGGCTAAATGGTTAGCACTTCCACCTGGCAGTACTAGAGGCATCGGTTCGAATCCCAACCACGGCACCACCTGCCTGGAGTTTGCATGTTCTCCCTGTCCCTGCATGGGTTACCTCCCACACTCCAAAGACATGCTGAAAGGTGAATTGGCTCCTGCCTAAATTGGCCCTAGTATGTATATGTCTGAATGTGAGTTAGGCACTAGATTGTACACCCCTTGATGGTTAGGGACTGATGTGAATGTACAACATATATGTAAAGTGCTGCGTAAATTGATGTTGCTGTATAAGTACCATGAAATAAATAAATAACTGTGACATGAGGATCAGGAGCACCACCAAAAAATGGGAAAGGTCTGCCAAGGAGGAGGGAGCACTAACCCAGAGATCTCCACTAGAGGCCCATTTATCTATTAGAATTTTCATCCATATTTATTTGTAAACATCAGCATATAAAATAAATAATCTATTAATGCTTTGTTTATATGAATGTACAGTATTTAAATTGAGTTGCAAGCTGCTGCAAAGATTGAAATCCTACTCTTGGCTGAAATTCTTTTATGGACTACATAAACAAGGTGTAACTTAGCACATAGGTGAAGAATAAGGTCCCCTGAAGATGGCCTATGGCCTATTAGCTGAAACACGCATTGGGGCAGAGGCTTTAGTGCTGACGTCATGCCGCTGTACAATATCAGTCAGCAGTGGCTTTCTATGTGGGTTACAGTGGTTTTGCATTGATATACTGGTCTGTTTGTTTCGTGTGCTTTGAATGTGATTCTCATGGTGCAATAAATACTACACTATTATCTTAGCAGGCTCTGGTGTGTGCTTTGTTTGCTGCAATTTGGATCAATGGGAATGAAGAAGAGAGCACTGTGGATGGATACATAGACTACCCTGGAAGACGACTACCTGTGATGACATGCTAAACTTACTGCACAAAAAGAGTCTAAAGCAGTATTAAACCCAAGACAAAAAAAATAATATATTGCAGCTAAAATGTGGTTTCTGCAATAGTTTTCTTGTGTTTATTTTTTCACTTTATTTTAACCTAGTGATCCAGCCAATACCAAACTTCCTGTTTTAGGGTGTCTCCACTCTGGATGGAGGAGCAACAGAGACACCCTTAGACAGCAGCATTATCAATCTGGGGAGAGGATAGCTTTGGATGCATTCGCAGATTTAGATGGATTTCACAAATTAAATCCAAACTTCAGCCAACACCTTTTAAGCAGTTAGAGCATTCTTTTATTTTCTTTTTGGGATAAAGGTTTTACATAAATAATAGTTGACCATTGTAAACCCCCCTGCCAGTGGTAAATGGTTTTTCTCAACCCTCTAACTGCCAATTTTGCTTGACAGTTTGGTCTGTTAACCGCTTCCCCGCCACCCTATAGTAGAACTACTGCTACAGGGGTGGAAGGCCTGTGCAAAATCACGTATATATTTACACGTGATTTGCATCTCTGGGTAGGGGGCACTTGCGCGCCCTAGCTGTTAACTACAGATGTCAATTGGCCAGAGATTCCCCACCAGTAGCCGGCGATCACCGAGTAACACTGACAGGAGAGAGACCTGTGTGTAAACCACACAAGTCTCTCTCCTGCCAGCAATAACATGCTGCTTTGTATTACTCTGCACAGCAAAGAAATACACAGCAGCATGTTTCCCAAGTAAAACACACACAGTTAACCCTTTGATCGCCCCAGATGTTAACCCCTTCCTGCTCTGTGTCATTAATCCAGTGTCAGTGCTTTTTATTAGCACTGATCACTGTATTATTCTCATTGGGATGTCAGTGGCAGTTAGTCAGTTCCCACCCCAGTGTTAGAATGCTCACCGCAGTCCAGTAGATATACTGCCATTTGTAGACACTATAACTTTCACGTAAACCAATTAATTTACATTGTATTGTATTTTTTTTTTTAGTAAAGACATAGCAGAATAGATTTTGGCCTAAATTTATGACGAAATTAGTTTTTTTTTTTAATTTTGTTAATGGACACGTTTTATAGCAAAAATATTTTTTTTTCAAAATTGTTTTTTTTTTGTTTTTAGCACAAAAAAATAAAAAAAACGCACAGGTGATCAAATACCACTGAAAGAAAGCTCTATTTGTGGGAAAAAAGGGCATAAATTTCATTTATGTACAGCATTGCATGATCGTGCCATTGTCAGTTAAAGTAACACAGCGCAATATCACAAAAAATAGCCTGGTCAGGAAGGGGGGTAAATCCTCTGGAGGGCAAGTGGGTAAAGATAGCTGAATAACAGACTTGTCCCTAATATATAAATCCATTTTGTCCAGTGATACATCGGATCCTCCATCTTATACCACGCAATGGAAAAGGAACTGATGACCTGGAAGACATGCATCAATGGCCCCAAATATGGGATAATATTGCACATTGGTCCATAAATTTCTCTTTTCTGTTGGCCAACTATAAATTTTTTTCTTCAGTGGTACATGGTACCCTCCCATATAGCAACATTTGTACACGGTGCCTCAGATTGTAGCTTTCAAGGTTGTGGTATGGCTGTACTGCCCAAAAAATGAAAACTATTTGGAAAAAGGTGTATCAATTGATATATACACGGTTCTGGGAGACAGTAACCCCAAGAACCCCTTTGAGGCCTTGCTTAATCCTAAAACCCTTTGTGTATTTCTAACCAATTTAAGTTGATATTTGTTATTATTATTTGTTGTTTTTTATTTTCACAGCTTCAGTAAACGTGTGTAAATTGGGGTTCTGACTATAGCACAAGTCAAGGAAAAAATGTTGTGGAATTTGACCAATGAAAACCTGACTGTTATCCAATGGAACAAAAATAAGAAATTTAGGAAAATATGCTACCTTTGTATTTCCTGCAATTTAGGGGCAATCAAAATGACCATTGTGGTCACTTTAACAAGCTTAAATTTATCATTTGAGGATTTGTCCCGTGGGTGGGACCAGTCCTGGCCCACTTCCAACCCATTATCTTACCCCTTCTCTCTTTTTTTTTCTATTTTCTCTCCTATATCCCTCTGTCCTTTCTTTCTCTTTATACTACTTTTGTACTGATACTGCAATCGCACAGTTGACACTCCAACAGGTGGGGTTCTCATGAACCTCCTCTATACAGGGAATAACCCTGCATGGGGGTATATGCAATAAATCATGTTACTCCTATGTTTTGGGGGACCTTGCTCCTTTGAACATTGTATTTTTGTAGTGAACAAATGGCAAACCCAGATACTCCTGTGCTTAGGGATGGACTCTATGGATAGGACCACATCACAAATTTCATGAGATATACACGCCTTCCTGCCCTCAAATGACCAGAAGTTGGCTCTGAGGAAAGAGGCAAGTCCTCAAAACGTGTCAGCCTGTTGGAGGGCCAGAGTTCCCATTACGGAAAAACACATAGTGCTGATTGGACAGAGCTGTTTCTTTCACAATGTACCTTTGACTGTATTGTCATTTTGTGAGACAATACCTACTTTTATCATTTAATAAATACATTTTTTATGGTAATGCACTAGGACCGGTGTGCCCTCTGTTTGTTTTTCTCTACATTGTATTTTTGTAGTATGAAGGATTTTCCTTCTCACTACCTTAGTGGAAAATGAAGTTTCTTACTTTTTCTTGAATAGTTGCAGGTAGGCTTGCATGTTGTTGTAAGACTATGCAAGTCTTTTATTCATGTCGGGAATCTGTTCTGTATACTGTATATTGTAAGCAACAGCTTAATATGTATGACTGTGAAACTAAATACTTGTCTGACATCTGTGAATTGTGCAATATGCTCAATAAAAATGTATTGAAACAAAAAAATAAAAGACTCGCTGGCTGGTTCACCAGGTGAAAATAAAAGAAAACTATGGCATCTGCTGCTTCTGAGAGTTGGTAAGTTGCATAATAATACATTTTTATTTTTAGGTTTAGTAATGCTTTAAAATGTCTTTCCATAAACAGAACTCAAGTTTCAGATTTTTTTTTAGTATCCCCATGGACCCCCTTGAAATCCGGAGCACTGAGCAGTCGCCCATTATACCCTTGGTATTATGCCTCTGTGATCACTACTATTTATTATTTATGAATGTTTTGCAAACATTTGGAAGCTTATCATACACATTTAAAAAATTTAAAAAATGTTTTAATCTCTAATCAAATGGCAGGAATATGTCATAGGTATTTGGTAGCATTTGAAATGTGAAATCTAAAAAGTTTAAAGGAGAACCTAAAGCAGCAATGCCTAAATAGATTGTTAAATCAAGTTGTGAAGAAGCTGTAAGTCTTGATTAGTACCATCAGGTGGCGCCATCAAACACCTTTTCAGATTTCCTTCACTGTAACATAAATCTATTACTGACACCAGGATACACAAACGACTCAACATCATTATTAGACATTTTGAAGTTTGTCTACATGCTGTATAAACATTAGTGTCAGAGCTTTAGTTTTCAACTGCGATTTGCAAATAGCTCAATCCTTTTGTGGTTAAACTAAATCTCTTAATTATTACCTTCTGGGTATAATGATAAGACCAACTCCCTGAACCAGATTGTTAGCAAATGTATGAAAAATTTTTTTTTATGTCTGGTTGAATCTAATACACATATTTTTTGCACTCAGTGTGTTTCAGCAATGTTAAGCACTTTCCCTATGGAAAATTTCCCCCTCTTCATGACCCAGCCATTTTTTGCTAATCGGCGCTGTGCTAATTTAACTGACAACTGCGCGGTCATGCAACACTGTCACAATTGTACATTTTAAATTTTATTTTTTTTACACAAATAGAGCTTTTTTTTTTTTTTTATATTTGATCATCACCAGGTTTTTTTTTATTTTTTGCGATAAAATGAAAAAATACAACAAAAAAAAAAACAACAATTTTTTTTTACCTTTTTGTTATAAAACATATCCAGTATAAAAAAGGTTCATAAATTTAGGAACAAATGTATTCTGCTACAGGTCTTTGTAAAAAAAAAATTCCAATAAGTGTATATTAATAGGTTTGCATGAAATTTATAGTGTTTTCAAAAATGGTACATATACTGGAATTTTTATTTATTTATATTTTTATACTAGTAATGGTGGTGATCAGCGTCTTATAGTGGGACTGCGATAGAATGGTGGGCATTCTGACATCTAGTGGTGGGAACTGACTAACTGCCACTGACATCTCCAGTGACACTAGTACAGTACAGTAAGGTGTATATATATATATATATATATATATATATATATTACTGTCTGCCTGTAACAAGTGAGAAATGTCTACATTTTTGAGTGTTAGGCATGTGCACACCCTGCTGTTTATATAATTGGATTCAATTAGATTGGTAACTCTTCTTCAAAAGAAAACACCCTAAAAGTGAATTAGACAAAGTGCGTACTGAAAACAGTTTTATGTTCCCCCTCCCTGTACTCAGAGTTCAAGTAGTCTTTGTTGCTAAAGTAATGGAGATTTAAAGAAAAACTACAGTTGTATTATTTTGTTTAGATATTCTTGTGAAAGGGATCAGCTTAAAATGGGGTTTCTCAACCAGGGTTTCATGGAACCTAGGGTTCCTCCAGAAGTTGCTAGGGATTCCTTGAGCAATTAGCAATTTCTGCCTCTCAGATAATTTCCCACTGACACCATTGATCTTTTTAGCTATCTGTAAGGGGGAAATGCATCCCTATGATGACAATGTAGGGGGCATTCTTCCCACTGACCATCACACTAATTCATCATGAGTTGTAGATTTAGTATCTGTCAGCAGGGGTACCCTGAGCATGGAAAGTTATTTCAAGGGTTCCTCCATGTTGAAAAGGTTGAGAAAAGGGTGTCTTAGCCACTTGCCTACTGGGCACTTTTACCCCTTCCTGCCCACGCCAATTTTTTACCTTTCAGTGCTGTTGCACTTTGAATAACAATTGCGCAGTTATGCAACACTGTGCCCATGTGAAATTTTTATAATTTTTTTCCACACAAATAGGGCTTTCTTTGGGTGGTATTTAACCGCCTCCTGCCCGCCATATAGTAATATGACGGACACAAGGTGGTTCTCTCGTTCTGGGAGGAGGTCATATGACGTCCTCCCATTCTAACCGGCTCAGGGAGCGCGCAGCACGGCGATCGGCGTTGCGCTGTGTCCCTTGGACACAGCGGATCACCGGTAAACGGAAAGATCCAAAGATGTCGGCTCGGTCATGTGATCAGCTGTGTCCAATCACAGCTGATCACATGTAAACAGGGAAATGCTGGTTATCAGCATTTCTCTCCCAGAGCTGTCACGCTGACAGCTCGTGAAGAAAGGAGAGCCGGTGTCAGGGATCCAGGTATGACCAGAGATGTGTGGACTGACACAGGGAAACAGCAGGCTTCAGAAATGAATAAATAATAATAATATTTATTATGAGCTGCACAAGATAAACAAACACAGTGCAAAACAAAACAAACCTTAAACTAATAGGTACAGGTGCAGTCAGGGCTGGAGAGGTGGAGTGGTCAGGCAGGCCGGGTCAGGAACAATCAGGCAGAAAGGTGTGAGCCGGGATGGCTGGATCCATGCAGGATGGATGGATGGCAGAGTAATTAGCGTGGTCAGACGGGCCGGGTCGGTAACAGTGGGTCAGCGTGGTACTAGGCAGCAGGCAGAAGAGTAGTCGGGTCACTCGCCAGGGTCAGTAACAGGAGTTCAGATCAGATTAGGGATGTCCAGGAGAGGTAGTCAAACGAACCAGGGATCAAGCAGGAGATGTCAGCAGAGGTCAGGATCAGGCAGGGTCAGCAACAAATCAGATAGGCAGAACAGGAACACAGGATACAAGGTACAGGGGCTCATGGGAAACATACACCAAGGCCCTGATCACAGGCCTGGTCCTGCTTAAATACACCTCCTGCAATCAGCCTCAGGAGTGAGATTCTGGCTGCTGAGAGCACCCAGCCAGCCTTGGTACTGCAGCCCACAAGGCAAGTGAGTCATTGGCAAGTCCATTCCTGACAGCCAGTAATTGGCATTCCTCGGAGGGGACATGTACACAGATCATCAGAGCACTGATGATCAGTGTGCCCTTATGATCTGTGTAGCCCCAGCAGTGCCACCTGTCAGTGTCCATCAATGCCAGCTCTCAGTGCTCATCCATGCCACCTGCCAGTGCCCATCAGTGCCACATCAGTGCCACATTTCAGTGCCCATCAGTGCCACATCAATGCCACATATCAGTGCTCATCTGAGCTGCCTTTCAGTGTCACCCATCAGTGCCAGTCAGTGCCGCCTATCAGTGCCAGTCAGTACTGCCTATCAGTGTGCATCAGTGCCGCCTATCAGTGTCAGTCAGTGCTGCCTATCAGTGTCGCCTAACAGTGCCAGTCAGTGCCACCTAACTGTGCCAGTCAGTGCCGCCTATCAGTGCCACCTATTAGTGCCGCCTATCAGTGCCACCTATGAGTGCTGTCTTTCAGTGCCCATCAGTGATGCCTGTCAATGCCCATCAGTGCCACCTACCAGTGTCTCCTCATCAGTGCCCATCAGTGCCACCTATCAGTGTCCATCAGTGCAGCCTATCAGTGCCCATCACTGCAGCCTAATTAGTGCACATCAGTGAAGGGAAAAATGACTTATTTACAAAATTTATAACAAAAACTAAGAAAAAAAAGTTTTTTTTGTTCAACATTTTCAGTGGTTTTTTGGTTTGTTTGAAGAAAAAATAAAAAACCCAGAGGTGATTAAATACTACCAAAATAAAGTTCTATCTGTCACAAAAACATGATCAAACATTTCATATGGGTACAGTGTTGCAAGACCGAGCAATTGTCATTCAAAGTGCAACAGCACTGAAAGCTGGAAATTGGCATGGGCAGGAAGGGGGTATAAGTGCCCTGTAGGCTAGTGGTTAATCAATGCTGGGTGTTTTATTTTTTTGCTAAACAAGCAAAAAAGACAGACAATGTTAAAAAAAAAGCTTTTTTTTTACTTTCTATTTTAAAATTTAGCAAAAAGGTAATTTTTCTCCTTCACTGATGTGTGTTGATGAGGCTGCACTGATGGGCAGCACTGATGTGCACTGATGAGCCTGCACTGATAGGCATCACTGATGGGAACTGAAAGGCTACACTGATGAGACTGCACTAGTGGGCATTGATGAGGAGGCACTGATGAGACTGCACTTATGGGCACTGATAGGCAGCAATGGTGGGCACTGATAGGCTGCATTGATGGGCACTGATAGGTAGTACTGAAGAGCATTGATAGGCAGCACTGATAGGTGGCACTGACTGGCTACACTGATAGGTAGCACTGATGGCTGCACTGATAGGTGGCACTGACTGGCTGCACTGACAGGCACAGATTGGCAGCACTAATAGCACAGATTGGCAGCATTGACAGATTGAGGCTGCTGATAATCAGCGCACTGATAATCAGTGCCCTGATTATCAGTATAGATGTCTCCTTTCACACTTGCCAGTTACCAGCAGTACCTTCCTCATATTGTGAAAGTGTGAGGAAAAATACTGTCAATAACCAGTACGTGTGTTTACATGGTGATCAGCTGTGATTGGACAGAGCTGATCACGTAGTAAAAGGCCGCTGTGATTGGACCTTTACCATGTCATGTGATCAACTGTGTCCAAAGGACTCAGCAATGACAGAGAGTTCTGGGTGTACAATGCTGGGGGGGTGCATGGTTCTGGGCGGATGTAATATGATGCCCTCCCAGAACTGGATGACCACGCTGTAACCATCATTCGGCTATAGCGCGGTCAACAAGTGTTTAAAGAATTTGTAAACCCAAAATGTCATATTGCTGATATGTGCATGTTGTTCCATGTACTTGACTGAAAAAGTAACCTGTTCTCTTTGTATTGTTTCCTTTGTGTGAAATCCCTGCTGGTCCCTCTGCCTTTCTATAAAAAAAACTGACCACACTAGGCAGGTGACACAGTGTGATTATTTCTCTAGGTGTACGGGAATTCTGCTTATCTCCTTCAGTGATTAGACCCCCCCCCCCTTTTTACAATTAATCACTGGAAAGACCAGTGTGCTGCTGTTCCTCCACCCTCACTTCTCTATGCAGCTTAGAACAGTGGAGTATGTGATCAATTATAAAAAAGGAAAAAATGCATTTTTAAATGTATGCATAAATGTTTTGTCTTTCACTTCTATTTTAAACTGCATGAGTTGTTTTGAAAGGCATAAACCATCAAAATGTGTCCATGTATTAAAAACATTGTCCCTGTGCCTTACTAATCTTTTTATATTATTGTTCATCGAGATAGGGTCTAAAAAATGTAAAGGGCTAGCTCACAAAAAGGGTTACAGAAAAAATGTAAATGTGAAGTAAGAGCAGACACCCAATACCTGCTCTACTTTCTTTCGGGGTTACTGAGCTGCAGCGCTCCAGCGATCTGGGTATTTGAAATCCCCTCTGTAAAATCCAGAAATAAATCCAACAGGAAAAAAAAAACCATAGCGTTCTTGCAGCTCTTAGTAAGGAAGGGCCCCCAGTTATCTAAAAAACACCACTAGTCTAGTTCTAATTTAAATAGAGATTACAGTAAGGATAAAAAACACTTACAATAGAAGAATCTAATAATCACTTAATAATCCCTTCTTAGTAGGAAAATCTATGGTCTTCTAAACCCTTATCACCACAACTGTAAATCAAGGTAGTTTACTGGTAGAGTTCTGCTTCTTCTCCATTGTCAGGCCCCATGTACACGGAACAATTCTGAACGATGGAAACTGACTGCTGGAAAACGTAGGTTAAAAAACATCTGTTTAGCTGTGTTTGCATAGCGCGTTTATGCGCGTTTGCGTTTAGAAGCGTTTTTTAAAGATAAGCACAGGAGAACCTCCCAAATGCCCAGAATGCACTGAAAAGTGGTAAATTATTAACTATTTCAGACTGTTTCAGAGAAATACACAGAGTAGACGCAGGGACAGCAATATGTGTTGAGATAATTAGGTGTGAGTTGCTCATTAACATTTCTTTTGTTTCCAAGGGTGGGAAGGTGTCTGGTGGACTGAGTGATTATGGTCACCTGGCAGGGGGTCTGCATGAGGAATTTGAGGTGTGAATGGTCATTAACATTTCTTTTGTTTCCAAGGTGGGAAAGGTGTCTGCTGGAGTGAGTCATTAAGGTCACCTTGCAGGGGGTCTGCATGAGGAATTTGAGGTGTGAATGGTCATTAACATTTCTTTTGTTTCCAAGGGTGGGAAGGTGTCTGGTGGAGTAAGTCATTAAGGTCACCTGGCAGGGGGTCTTCATGAGGAATTTGAGGTGTGAATGGTCATTAACATTTCTTTTGTTTCCAAGGTGGGAAAGGTGTCTGGTGAAGTGAGCCATTAAGGTCACCTGGCAGGGGGTCTGCATGAGGAATTTGAGGTGTGAACGGTCATTAACATTTCTTTTGTTTTCAAGGGTGGGAAGGTGTCTGGTGTGTGTGAGCCATTAAGGTCACCTGGCAGGGGGTCTGCATGAGGAACATTGAGGTGTGAATGGTTATTAACATATCTTTTGCTTCCAAGCATGCATTTTTCATGAGGAAAAAAGGCTTTGGACAGCATTGGGAACTGGAAGAGATAAAAAAAATTTCAGATGCAAAACGCTTATAAACGCGATTTTCCGCGTTTACAAGCATTTTGCGTTTGAGACGCTGATAAATTCGACTGCTGAGTGCAAATTTTCTGCATTCAAAAAAAGACTGTAAACTCAAATGCCTGTAAATTACTGTAAACGAAGATGTGTACATGGACACATAGGAAAACATTAGGGTGAGTTCAGGGGCTGCTGAAAAAAAAAAACACTGAACAGCTCCTAAACGTGAGTTTATCAGCTGCAGTGTACATGAGCCCTCACTTTTATAGTGCTTTGTTTTTTTTTTCAATTTCTCTTTTGATTCTGTATGTCACATTTACCATTAAGTTTTCTTTACACCCATGGCTGTTTATGTCTGGCGTCAGTTCAACTTTTTATGTCCTTTGGTTCTGTGAAAAATACTTTTTTTATGATCAGGTCAATAATCCATACCTTATAAAGTAACTAGATTGCTGTCTTTCAGTCCTAGATCAGTTGCTTTAATCATAAAAAGCTTAATGTACTCCTGGTTGTCATCACAGGTACTGCCATTGGGCCTTTCGAGGCCCATTATCATTTTGTACAAGCACAGGATAATGATTTTTAAAGCTGAACTCTGGACATAAAAACATTCACTTAAATATAGTTTTTAATATCCACAAGGATATAGATCCACTTTGTGTGCAACAAATGGCTTTTCAAACCCAGACATTACCTTGTAAATGTAAAAATGATGTTTTAACTGTGCTACACAAAACGTTTATAGAAAGAGAATTATGTCTTGGAATATATACTACCTTGTTCCATTAGGTGTGTTGGGAGTGGAGTTTATGAGAGAAGGCTGCTTCAAGAACCTCTGTGTATGCTGGGGTTTTTTCTGTATTGTGGGAAGGGAAGGCAATCAATCCTCTTGCTCATTTTAGGATCTATAGGCATACAGATCAATAGTGGTGATATCACCGGGACAGGCCACAGTGCTTTGTGCAAATGTGGCAAAAGCTAACCTCTAGACCTGCATATAATGCATTGGCTAAGTGGCTAGCACTTCCACCTGGCATCCCTAAGGTTGTTGGTTTGAATCCCAGCCATGGCACTCCGTACTGGAGTTTGCATGTTCTCCCTTTGCCTGCATGGGTTTCCTCCCACACTCCAAAGACATGATGGTAGGTTAATTGGCTCCTGTCTAAATTAGAACTAATATACACTATATTGCCAAAACGTATTGGGACACCCCTCCAAATCATTGGATTCAGGTGTTCCAATCACCTCCATGGCCACAGGTGTATAAAGTCAAGCACCTAGGCATGCAGACTGCTTCTACAAACATTTATGCAAGAATGGGTCACACTCAGGAGCTCAGTAAATTCAAGCGTGGTACCATGATAAGTTATCACCTGTGTCCATACATGAAATTTCCTTGCTACTAAATATTCCATGGTCAACTGTTAGTGGTATTATACCAGAGTGGAAGCAACTGGGAACAACAGCAACTCAGCCACGAAGAGGTAGGCAACATACAATGACAGAATGGGTCAGCGCATGCTGAAGCCACCAACTGTCTGCAGAGTCAGCAGCTAAAGACCTCCAAACTTCGTGAGATCTTCAGATTAGCACAACAACAGTGCGTAAAGAACTTCATAGAATGGGTTTCCATGGCTGAGCAGCTGCATCCCAAGTGCAATGCAAAGCGTCGCATGCAGTGGTGTATAGCACGTCACCACTGGACTCTTGAGAAGTGGAGATGTGTTCCCTGGAGTGACAAATCATGCTTTTCTGTCTGGCAATCTGATGGATGTGTCTGGGTTTGATGGTTGCCAGGAGAACGGTACTTGCCTGACTGCATTGTGCCAAGTGTAAAGTTTGGTGGAGAAGGGTTTATGGTGTGGAGTTGTTTTTATGGG